TGTGTGGTTCGGGTAGGAACACTAGTGGGGGGTCTCTACCTGCTGTTTCCTGTGCCAATAGCTAATATAAGACACAGGCTAGCAGTTAGCTTTTTCAGCTCACTGACTGTCAATAAAAAGCACAAGAAGAAACATTTCACTCTTCTGTTGGCATCGCGGTAGAGCTTAGAAGTAAAAGTAAGAGAGCAATGTTTCTGGATAGAGCTAACCCGAAGAACACCCTAGACTCGTCCGAACGAGGAGCTAAAGAAGGCTACTGAATCACAGACTGATGGTCACCTGGCTTCGTTGCAACTGGACTTGTAAGTAATAATACTGTTTTACCCAAAAGTGTGGATCTTTTTACTTGGTGCTTTATTTTAGTATTAGTTGGCTCCATGTTAACGTTAGCTTAGTGTGAGCTGCTGCGGGGTTGTTTACAACCGTTGTAATTCCTCTTTCAACCAGTAGCAGGGAGAAGCACGGACTTATTTAGAGTCATTTTCATTCGATTCAACAGATACTGAACTGATTGTGTCTCTGTGACAAACTGCTGGTACCCAACTCATATTGGGTGGACACAACCCTGGCTCATCCCTTGAGTTAGGACTCTATGTTTGGATGATTCAGAGGTCTTTCCTTCAGAAAGTCTGGAAAGCTGTTGATCCGGAAACGCTCTAAAGGACAGCTGAAGATGGGATCAGGACTGTAACAATGAACAGTATTTACTAAACAGAGTTTAACTCAAAGACGCATCAGACAGACTTCTGGGTGGCTGGCAGCACGGTCTCCCCTCCCCCTCCCGTACAAAAGGCTGGAGCTCCCACCGTCATTCCACACGGTTCTCCATAGAGACAGGTCCAAACATGGAGCCAGCAGACTGCGGGAGACGTCTCAGAGACTCAGACACTAATTTGTCTCTGAGGAAGACAAAGCCGAGGCCTCCCCTCCTAGTCGGAGTTTGTTTTTCACAAACACACATAAAGAGAGACAAAAACCTCCAGATGGAAGGTAGACCTGAACAAACACAAACACACCCAAAGCCACGCCCCTCAACAGCTCCACACATACACCTGGAGGGGCGGGGCTTCTCTGAACATCTCAGACCTGAAGCAGAGGCACCAGAGCCGACGACAGCCTGAGCCAAACGTCTTTAAAGTTCTGGATTTCTTTAAACATCTCCTGCGGCTGTGCTTTTCTCCTGCTCTTCTGATTACATCCTGCAGGAAGTTTCACCATCACACGGAGAAAAAACAAAAACGTGTCCCTGCAGAGCTGTGTTCTGCACAAGATAGACACGTAGAATAGCACATGTGAAACAGAACACGCTAGAACACGCTGGACCCAACACATGGATCATATCATTCGTGATGCATGAAGGTTTCAGCGTTTGAACAAGTCAGTGTGTGTTTTACATCTTTCTCTAAATGAATCCGATGACTTGGGTCAGATAATTCTAACCTGAACTCAAAACTATAACTCGTCTGGATTCGGATCGTCTTTCTCTAACAAACAGAATGACTTCTGTCTCGTTAGTTAGCTTTATCTTCATATTTGAAACTCTGAGGACTCTAACCTCATCAGCGCTGCATTAAGATGGCCAAGCTCTTTGTAGAGACTCACCTCATTGGTCAGCATCCCGCCCCCTGCACTCCTGCCCTCTGACCCCATCAGCCCCCTCTTGACCCTAACAAAGGCAGTGGACACTCAACCGAGTCTCCGGACTGATGACTGCTCTGTTTTATGGCCTCTCAGACTCGTTTGTTCCCAGGATCGAGTTGACCTGAAGCTGAAAGGCTCCAGTGATGTTTTATAAACTCTGAGACATTTTCTGGTTCTGACACGAATAACGTTTACCACCGAGATCATAAAGCAACCTGAACCGGTTCAGTTCAACACAACAAAAGGCAAACAGAGCCATCATCAAGAGCAGAATAAAATAAATAAATGTAAGAAATACAAGACAGCTGAGTGGAAATAAGCCTGAACAATCCTCAGGGACAGAATTTCATTTGGAATAAACTGAAGTTTAAACTCTAGTCTGATAACTGAGCAACTGAAGTTTAACAGTTCAAATTTAATCTGCAAACAAACAAACTGCTTTTGTTTTCATTCTAATAACATAATTATTTATCCATTTTCTTTGTCTTCTACTCTTTTGTTTCCTTGAGAAGTGAACATCTGCTCATCAAGCGGGAAACACGGGAAAAACTCCAAACTAACAAAAATATATAACTTATATTAAAAATGAATAAATAAAATAGATCAAGAAAATGAAAGAATACATTTTAAAAATGCTAAAGGGTAACAAATGCATTTATTGAATGGTTTTCTTAATAAATATTACTTTTTCACATTATCTAAATAAATTGTACTCTACTGGTAAACTTATGGAAAATATATTTCAGAACCAAGTGCTGTAAAAAAGTTTTTATAATTCCAATAAAAAAGTTGAAACACAGAAAAACTTCAAACTTGATAAATCGGTGAAAACCTGAATAAACGTGACGTCATGGCTTACCCGTCAGAGTCCTGAAAGTTAACGTTCAGCCTCTTCGTGGATCCGAGCAGCTCTGGAATAAAAAACAACAAAACATCAGCGTTTGATCGGTTCTGGTCCATCTGAAATCAGAAAGGACAGAGCACTAAGCATTTAGCTGCAAAGCCTCCTGGGAGGTGTAGTTGTGTTCCTGCACAGTTACAAGTTTCTAGAAATATTCTGCAGGAAAATAATTTTTAGTTTTTGTCAAAGTAAAACAAGACGGCCTGAATATTTTCAGCTTTTATAAACCAAGTGTGTGAGAATAAAAATGGCGCTGGTGTGGTCTTCACAGCCTGAAGCCGTTTATTTTATAGAATGATGCAGAAAATCAGCGCCCAGAAGGTCTAAGAGCATTCAAACCCGTCGGCCCTGGCAGAGGAAGCAGTCCTTCCAGGTTTCATTTGTAGGTTTAAATGGCTCCACTGGTTTTTTAATCGTGTTTGTCTGCTCGTTTGGTTTATTATTAAATATTAGTATTTCTGTTCGTTTTGCTTTGATCATAAACTCAACAGAGACCGAGGATCAGATTTGCTTTCATAATTTAATCTGACACATTACCATGATGACAGAGAACTCAATATAAAAGATGTTTTCCTCCATTTCAGACAAATCAAGAGACTCGTGTTTTATTTTTGTTTGATTTTGTGGAGGAATTCAGTTCTGGATTCAGTTTGGGATCAGAACCCACCCGCCTCCTTCAGATGGCTCCTAAAGTCCAGCTCTCTGTCCCCCCCCCCCGTGACCCTACGTGGACAGGCGGGTTCAGAAAGTGGATGGATGGAATGACTCTGATGTTTTGACTGTTTGACGTAAATCTGCTGAGTCATCTTTATGCTGATGAGTTATTTCTAATCAGACAAAAGTCAGAATCATGATTTGAAACCTGAAGACTCCATTTCCGTCTCTCCGGCTGAACTCAGATCAGATTCAACCACCCGACTCGTTGTATCTATCAGGATTACCAGCAGGTCTGAGATCAGCAAGCAGCTCTGTTTGGAGACCTGCAGACAATCTGAAAAAACCCCTAAAGAGCCCCCCACCCACCCCCCCACCAGCCTGTTTGAAGTGTTGATGCTCCTCCTGTGGGATTGCAGCACTGCTTTGATAATGACCTGGATTTTAGGGTTCTGGCTTTAAAGCTGCAGACAAACAAATCATCACACAGGTGGGGGTGGGGGTGGGGGTGGGGGGTGGGTGGGGGTGGGGGGGTGGGGGGGGGGTTGCAGCAGGAGGGAGACGGGAGGAAAATGGGAGAAGGATGGAAGACAGGCGAACAGAACCTGATGGTTTTGGTTGTTAACTTTAAACTCATGTGGTCCAGATCCTTCAGCCACTTAGACCGGACCTCGCCTTAATCTGATCTGGAATCAGTTTCAGAGAATCGTGGAGTTCATGAATCAGAAGCATCCATTCCCGACAGCACACCACCACACATGGGGTTCTGATGGGGTGGTTCTGTTCGAGACCACTGATCCGACTGGAATCTTCAGGGTTCTCAGCTTGTTAAAGAACCTTAAATAACTTCTGCATTCGGCCCGTTTAACAGAACCAGAGCCGCTCTGCTGGTTTCTCTTATTTATTTATAGAACTTTAAGAAGCTGGAGTTTGTTTTTCCTGCTGAGGAGCAGAGAGCTGTGACTCAAGCGTGGATCTGCGGTCACAGTCAGAACCACAAAGATCTGGACCTTATGCAGACGTATTTTCAAAACCAGAACTTTTACTGGGAAACTTGTGGGTCAGGCCAAAATCAGAATCTGCAGAGCATTTTCTGAGTTATTCTGGTTCTGTTTATGGAGCTGGAGCCTCCTTCAGCTCTTCATGGAGATCAGTGGCCACAGGAATGAAGGAGAAAGGAAGAGGGAGGAGGTGGGGAGCAGGAGGAAAGGGGAGGAAGAGGAGGTTTCTGTTGGAGGCCCATTTGGGTCCAGTTTGGGTTCTGTGGTGATCCGTCTGCAGCATTTGTTTTCTCAACAACTCTAAAGAACTCATCAAGGCCTCCAGCTGCTGCAGAGAGGCCAGAACCAGAGTCCAAAGATGAACCAGGTCCAGGAGCAGGACATCCTCATCAGAAACTCTGAACCATCTCAAACCAATGACCTCCGAATGAAAACTAACTTACAAAACCTCCACTGTAGAATAGAAGCTTGGAGGTCATGAACTCTGGCCGTTTTTGTCCTTCACGTCCCGCTGAGACAAACTGCTGCGTGTGATAAAAGTTTCTGTTTGAAAACGGAGAAGTGTTGGAGAGAGCCTGGCACAGGAACACAGGAAACCGACTGTCCAGGCTCTTATCTGCTGACTCAGTAAGAACAATAGGCTGCAAAGGACGATTAGGACTCTTCAGGTTTTGTCTGAAGGGATGAGGACTTCTCATCAGAAAACGTCTCAATGATCTCCAACTGCTAGAGACAAAACAGCATTCCCAAAAGAGTAAGTACCAAGGGGCCCAAAGTGTGCCAAGAAAATGTCCCCCACACCA